TAGCTAAAATGGGGAAAAGTCAATAAATGTGAACAAAATCTTTTTAAAATAGCCATACTCTAACACATTTAAATAGTTATTGAACGCTCTTCTGTGCTATTAAATCTCCAATTAAAAAATTATTATTCGGAGGGGTAGAGAATTTAAGTAGAGCGTACACAGACATCTTAATGCTGCAAACTGAAAAAGGGAATGCCCGTTTACCTATCATTCTACAGGCACGAAAATCTAAAATGATATATAAAAACCTACCCTTGCGTTTAATTGCTAACATATGGAAATGTTACTGAACTCGGGGTTCTTATTCAAGAACAAGACACGGTTGTCATTAGTTTTATTTACTTACAGCAAGTAAGACTCACATCCAAAGCTCTGGACACTATTTGGTTAATTACTCATAGATTTTTGTCTTTGCAGTTGGCTAAACTTATCTAGTTGTGGTTCTGGTCAAGCTCATCCCATTGCAGCTGCAGCTGCAAAATACTGTGCCTTTTAACATCCAGCAAAAATAGCACTAAGAACCACCGAGACCTTGAGACCCTTGTCTTATCTAACAGAAAACTGATGCCTACCTTCTGAGTTATTAACCCACATTAGTAGCTGTTACAGAAGAAAATCCAAATCAAGTTTGTACAACCTACCCGAGTTCTCATAAATTCAGGTTAACGTATAGCTGTTGTTTTCTCTCTCTCTCACTTGCGGCCTGCTGTGGACCTTAGAGCACCAGCTCTTGACCACAGTAGGCTAAGTAACCCTTCCGCAACCACCACCAAGTCTGAGTGACATCAGAGAGGAGGCGAAGGAAGAACAAACTCAGGGTTGGCTCCTGAGTGAATCAGGAAGCATTAGGAAGCTCAACACCAGGGCACATACCTACCCCTGGGACTGGCACGGTCCCCCACATCTAGTCTTGGTTCAGCTGAAGCCACCAGAATCTTGCTTGGCCTTTGTTTTCATCTGGAGATCCAAATCAGAGTGCCCGTGTGTAAGTTTCCTTATGTCAACCTTGACCAGAAAGCATCTTCATTCTGATTGCTAACCTGAGTGACACTCAATGGCCCAAAAGAATCTAAACGACTCACCAGTGGGAGTCAGTTATAGCTGCTGCTAAGATTCTTTGTGGCCGTGAAGCTTCATGGTCAAGGCCGAGTGAATATATTAATAAACTTCCCCATGGGAGCTCTATCTGAACCAAACAAAATCCTAGAAGAAGCTTTTTTGTCTTTTTCCCTTCTGGATAATATTTCTGCTCTCTCTCCCCCCCCACACACACCCCCTACCCAGGATTCCTACATCACCACTGTTTGAACTTCAGTGTATTATCTTTCATATGCTGCTTTTCTCATTTTTTAATGTGTTATGGTCATTTATAGGCCAGTGTCCACCTCTGGAGTTTCAAAATTATTTATGAAACTGTGTAATGAATTTAACCCCAGGGTCTATGAACACCTATAGGGAGACCTGTGTCTGTGCGCACTCTGTAAGGACTGGCGCCGGGAGCCTTCTCTGTGTAGACTCATGTCCTACGAAGGCCAGAGTGGTAAAGGACCCATGAACCTCTGTCCAAATATGCCTGTAGTCCAAAAGGTACTCATCAGCCGGCTGGTGTGGCTCAGTGGTTGAGCATCAACCCATGAACCAAGAGGTTGCCGGTTCAGTTCCCCGTCAGGGCGCCNGGCTGGTGTGGCTCAGTGGTTGAGCATCAACCCATGAACCAAGAGGTTGCTGGTTCAGTTCCCCGTCAGGGCGCCCGCCCGGGTTGTGGGCTCCATCCCCAGTTGGGGGCGTGCAGGAGGCAGCCGATCGATGTCTCTCTCTCATCAATGTTTCTCTCTCTCTCTCCTCCCCCTTTAAAATCAATTAAAAACATATTTCAAAACAAAACAAAACAAAAGCAATGTATACAACCTTGTGAGTGCTGAAGTAAACTCTCAGTAGTAACTATAACAGTTTAAGCCCACCTAGCACAAACCTGTTTAATTTACAAGTGTGTTCTGTTTTAATGCTTTTTAAGCTACCGATCTTGAATTTTTTTTTTTTCTGTTGTTGAATATTAAATTTTACTAGAGGAATAAAAGTGTAATGGATTTTCCCCCTCTCTGAGTGTTCATTAAACAACGGTCGTGGTTATAGCAACTAGACAGGGTTGAGTTGGACAGATCTCCGATCGCCAATATATATGGAAGCGCTTCAGTTTATTTTCTTCTCATCTTAAAAATTTACTGCTCTACTTGGAAGTCATGTTATTAACTGTTGCTCAGATACTGTTTTTGCTCCGCATAACTCTCATTTTAACAGTGTTTTGCAGCATAAATGAGCTACAAGTAAATGTATCTTAATTGAATGTTCTTTTTTTATTGCTTTCTTTGCTAAATAAAACTTAAAATCTTCTTATTCTCTTATGTAAAAAATTTATAGAAAATCTCATGTTCTCTTAAAACAGAAAAATGAGTGTATAAGTGTATCAGACATAATTTTTTCAGAGCTAAAAATAGTATATTTATGCTTCATAAAACTCTGATAGCTATTTCACAGCAATTGACGATTGGATGCATTAGTGTAGTTCAAGCTTATTTTTACCAATCATGTCCTTTCTGTTTTCAGCAATGAAATTATCTCCTGTATAGCATTTCCCCCTGTTCCTTCTGAAAGTGAAATTATTTATGAAACTGTGGCTTAGCAGCAAGCAGAGAAGGTAAAAGACGCTTCCTTCCTGCAAGAGAGGCTGTGGAGTGCGGTTTACTAGAGAGCTCTGGGCCGGATAAAGGAGATGCGGGTGCCGGTTCCAGTTCTGCAGCATAGATGTTTGTTAGACGAACGGATCGATGAATAAACGACCTCTTTGGACCTCAGTTTCCCAATTCCCATGTGTAGGACCTGGAGGAGATTGTCTCTTTGTCTCCTGCCAGCCCCCAAATTCCCTCCTTCCACGTGAGCGCCGTCTCCCTTCTGGCTGGAATCTTTGCTGTGAAGCGGTCGCCTGTCGTTACAGGGGCCTGCGTTTGCGGGGTGTTTGTTGTGACTCTGCTCCCCCTGCTTGGAAACATTCCTTACCTAATTACGCAGGACGCCGGCGATGGGGGTGGGAGGGGGGTCTTGGGGTTTGTACCTTTTCTGATTCTCTGACGTGTGAAATTAGTTGCCCTGAATTACTTTGGTCCGAACCTGAAACAAAATTTTTGTACATTTTTACATCTGTCCCAAACTCAGTTCTTAATGGGATGGGCTATGTATCTGCAGATTAACTGATGTGCAGAAAATATTGCTTTAATGTTTTAAAGGCATACTGCACAATTGAATTCATGCTTGGTGGACATCTCCCATGCTCTTTATTCTGAGTGAATCCTTCATTCCTATAATTAACCTCCCTCCCT